TTTCATTTTGTCACAAATCATCTTTCATCATCTGGATGGCGCATAAAGTTTTTTACACAGCACAGATTCAAACAGGAAAGCAACATGAAGGCAACTCAAACAAACATGGAGTGTAATGAATGTGACACAAGACACAAATTGACTCAGATCAACGAAACGAGGAACTCTTATCTGTATGACAGGCTGCTAATCTCACATAGACGTAGTTTGACTACTAAGAATCTGACGACAACAACAATAGTTTCCAATAAACACGAACCTCTAGCACTTGTACAATGAATATGTAAAAAAAAAAAAAATACGGGGAAGCCATAAAAGTACACTCCGTCTTAAATTAACATTAACTGGTAACGAGACAAGATGAACTGATGGCAGACTCTGTGGTTCCCATTTTTTTGTTATTCAAAAAATCAAATAAGGAACAAGTTCATCATATTTTATGAGGACCAAACTGCTCTGGTTCCTCTTTACAGACTGTGGTTACCTTCTTTCACAATGTATGGGTTTGAGAGTTTGGAGACATTTGGGGGTTTATTGCATCAGACTGGAACTGTCTGCTGCACAGCACACTCTTACATCCTGGTCAATGAAACTCACTGACTTTGAGTGTAAATGATGTAGGTACCACTCATGTTATGCAGAGTGTCTGCTTGTAACTTAAAGGGATAGTTCACCCAGAAATGAAAATTCATTATCTACACACCACTATGCCAATGGAGGGGTGGGTGAAGTGTTTGAGTCCACACTTTAGGAGTCCAAGAATCCAATACAATCTCTCAGTCAGGCTCCACCCCTGCTCCTCCAAATATGGTTTCTTCTGGTTCTTCAGAAAACAAGATGACGTTGGACAAAATCCCAAACCAATCGCTGGTATCACCATGGGTTGCCACTTGCAGATCTATAGTCCTAGGTCACCTGTAACCATGGTAACCACACACAGTGATGCTGAGTGAATGGTCTTATTTCCTTTTCTCAGGGATGAAATATTAGTTTTTCTCTTACTAAAAGTCAGTCAGCTCCTAAAGTCTTAATAATGTTGTTGTCTATAATGCAAACACGATGCATTGCATATATCAGATTCCTTCACTGAAGCCTGCCTGTTCAGCAACATTAAGTAGTAGTGAGGAGGATGCTTGCATCAAAATGTATCAACACAGCAGAAATCTTTAACTCAATGAAAATAGCTTATTAGATTTAGTTTATTTGCCAAAATGTACACATAAAAATGCACAAATGTTCATAATTCACATACACAAGTTTTAATGGTGTTCCAAAACATTTACTGAAAGAAAAATGCTTGAATGTTTCTGTTCTATTTGTGAGAAAGGTTTGTACATTACAGTGTATTTCTATTTTTACAGTGAATAAGTCTATAGATACTTTCCATAGTGATATAAATGATCAACACGATGTGTTGACAGCAGCTGTCTCTTATGCCATGATTTGTCTCTAACAGGTCTTCCCACCCCTTCCTAATGAGGCTGAGATTGCACACACCAAAAAGCTCTTCCGACGCAAGAAGAATGACCGACGGTAACGCATGCACACACACACACACACACACACACACACACACACACACACACACACACCTCAGCAAGAGGGAATGTTTTTTTCTGTGTTTGATGTCAGACATCGGTGCACAACCAGTCCCATAGCCTTAACATCTCTCCCCGGCCAAAGCAATGTCAAGGAATGCAGGCTCCACACTTTTCTGCAGACAGGAAAAAGAAAAGAAAAACACTGTGGAGACATTCAAGGTTTTTCTTTTCTTTTTTTCCTTCAATAGGTCAAACCTTCTTTCCTTTTGTGAATATGTATTTACTTGTCTTGTCACTCTGGTGCGAAATTTGAAAGTAAATTTTGAAATTGTATCCTGACTTCATTGAAACCAGGTCCTTAAGAGAGAAAAAAAAGTCTTGCTTTCTTGTTCCCTGATGTCACTGGAAAACTGTTCTTCAGTTGCTAAGAGACAGGCCCAGAGAAAATATTTGGGTTGTATTTGTGGTTTAAAAAGAGGAAATTTTAGCTAAACAAGAACGGATAAAAAAAGCACTTTCATCCTTGTTTTTAAGTACAGAGAGTAATTGGTTCTGTCCAGAGCTATTGTGTTTATTTGTGATGGGTGCAGCGCAGGCCAGGCAAAAAGAAAAGAACACAAACATAAACTTGGAGCAACAGTAGTTTTCTTAGGTTTTAGTCTATTTGTTTTGTGAGCTGGAAATATTAACATTAAGAGTCCATCCTGTTTTCTCGTCCATTCTGCTTCCAAGTCAGGACTTTACAGCTTGTTTTTTATGGGATAATTACAGTGGCAAGAACAAGTACATGAACCCTGTGTTTTTCTGCATTAATTGGTCATAAAATGTGATGTCATCTACAGTATATCCAAGTCAAAGTTAGACAACATCGAAATGTGCTTAAAGCTAGGATTGATAGTCCTAAAATAACTAGGAAGAGCAGGCTACACTTTGAAAAATGCAGCTGATACATCACCCCCACCCCCCGCCCCCCCATTGGCCATCTCGTCAAAGCTACGCCACCAAAACACATGCACTGCCTGACTACTAGAGGCTAACTTTTCTGTTTTTTCAATTCGGTCCAAAAGAAATAAATTACCAACCCTACCATTAGGACATTAAGGCAATTACTATCTTTTGTGTCTTCACTGAACACATCCCTAAAACATTCACATTGCTGGTGAAAGAATTAAGTAAACCCTTGCTCATAACATCCTTTTGGGAGCAATAACCTCAAACAAGAGATTTCTGTAGCTGCAGATCAGACCTGCACAATGTCCAGGAGGAACTTGTTTCACTTCTTCTTGTAGAACAGCTTCAGTTCAGCCATATTTTCAGGACGTTTGGTGTGAATGGTTCTCTGAGGTCAGTCCACTGCATCACTACTGGGTTATGGTTTGTGTTCTGACTGTGTTCAAGACTGAGACATCATTCTCCAATTAAGTCATTGTACCATAAAACACTGCAAATGCCCAATGCCCTTTCATTGTTCAAGTGTGGTTGTATGCAGTGCTTATCCATATTACGTCTATAACAGAAGGTACATGTAGTGGCATAGAAGTTGAGACATGTACTGTGGCTTTAAAGGCCAACTTTAGCAAATGCCTCCTAAAAAATCTTTCGAGGATTAATTCTTATATTGGAATCAAAATTAAAAAGTAAATGAGAGACTCAATATAATTAGACTCAAATATATTTTAGTTTCTGCTCAGTGACTTTTGAAGTGTTTCTGAAATCTGAAAACACTTGAGCTGACAACATTTTTACTTGTATTTTTTTTGACACATTAAACATGAGTGAATGCTTTTAATAGATTTTGATGCTAATGTCCCATTAGTCTATAATGTGAACGCAACATTAGCTTTGTATTAGCATTCATCATTCATGTTTGAGGGCTACATGTAGCCCCCTGCTGCCTTACTCTAAAGCCAGGCATCACATAGACCAGTCAAACGTATCTGCAGCGATGGAGAAAGCAGGATGAAATTTATGTTGTGAGGAAAAAGGCATAAGAAGAAATGGACATGAGGGAGGAGCACTAGTGTACAAGCAGACTAACATGAAGTGGTTTACATAGGGAAAGATCACAAAGATCATATTAATACACTATTAAGTCATCAAGTATCTTATTTATTCCATAAAAGTGGAAAAAAATACTTTTGATCCTCCTGGCAGGTCGTAAAGTATACATACACCCAAAGAGCAGTTTATTAGGAACACCATACTAATGCTGGGTAGGGCATCCCTCGGCTCTCAAAACGGTTTTCATGGCATAGGTTACGCATGATGTCGTAAACAGTCCTCAGAGATTCTGCTCCATGTTGACATGACTTCATCAAATAATTTCTGCAGATGTGACAGCTGCACATTCATGATGCCAATTGCCTCTTCTACCACACCCCAAAGGTGGAGCAGACAATCATCGATTGTGTATGAAAGTGCGGAAACTGGTTATTGTATCAGAAAACATCCTCCATAGCTATAATTACACTATACTGTCCTCTATGAAGCTTAGCGTGCTCGCTCATCAAACCCATTAACATCATATGTTTGCCTATAAAACATGGTAATCCTCTTAAATAGATATTCTCCCACGTTCGACTCCCTGACAGAAAACAACCAGTAGCCTGAGGCAATAAATATTCACTGCATCAAAAAACCACAGAAATGATGTTAGATCTGTGTTTATTTAGTTTTGTGTCGGTGAGGAAACAAAAATAAAGTTCGAAGTAAACTTGTTGCAAGCACATGATTAAATATGGCAATGAGTATTGATCCTCTGGCTGTATGTTATGCAAATCACAAGGGTTGAGGGTCGTTGTGAAAGAGAGAGAGTGAGATTGAGTAAAGGAAAAGTGTAGGCTGGCTGCGGCAGGAAGGAAAAGAAAGGGGAGGTAGTGCATGTGTTTCTACTTTAGAAGGCACGTCAAGCAGGGCTGAAATTAGTTGTGATTTACTGGAATGTGCTGCTTACTGCTTTCTGCTCTAAAACAAAAAAAGGGGGAAAAAGAAGCTAATATGCTCTTTATCTGTCTCTTTTTTTCTCTTCCTTAAAAAAAACAGGTAATTATTTTGAGGAGCGTTTACACATGTAGACTTTATTTTGTGTGTTTTACAAGAACTTCCTTGTGCCTCCAATTGAAGAAAGATTTTAACAACAAACACATTTACATGACTGAACATCCAGTTTCCACACATTACGAATTTAAACAAAGATGAAGTACAATTTAAACAGTGTAGAAATGTTTAAACACACCAAACACCAAGTCCACCATCTATTCTCTGAATAAAACGATGCCTGCTATGTGTTCAAAATACATTTTATGAATGCAACCTCTGATTAGAATGGAGGCTGCAAAACCCAACACAATGAGCAAAAGTGGCATTTGGCTGTCTGTTATATCACCTAAAAGTATGTAGGTGCATTGTCACTGCACATTTTTTAAGATTAGACATACTAGTCTTTGTGTGAAAAATTGTGTGTGCAGGAGTTTTTGTGTGTATTCGCATTGGTTATACATCAGGTCTGCATATTTTTCTGCACCTAATATGAATGGGTTGTCTTTCTGCCAGAACTTTCTGGGCAAGATGACTCAACGTTATTGACTGTAATCGCCTATTTGTTTATGCATGCATGTATAGATGCACAAACATTCACTTTTTTCAGTAGGTTTGGATTTTGAATTTTTAAACTCAGTGAAAAAGAAAAAAGGTGTGATGCAAATGTTCAGTCAGACAGTCTCGACCTGTCAGACTGAACCCCACAGTCCATTAACCAGTGTGTTGCGGCTTGTATGAAGCCTGGGCTCTTATTGACTGTCCAGCCTGCAGGCTTCTCTTCTCCCCCGGGCAAATCGATTCTCCAGTCTGGGTCAACCAATGGTCCAACGGGTTCATGAATCCCTCATCCACATAGCAGCAGCAATGATTAATCACCAGTATCCCTCCCCTCCCATGATCATATCTGCCAATTCATTCCACCTTTTTAGTGCCCATAGCATTCCTCAGTTCCTGAAGTTCTGTGCATGTTGTTTGAATGACATAGTTATCTGTAGTTTTTTTTTTGTTTGTTTCCCTCTTCGCTTCTCTATCTACCCTCCACCTTATATCCTCTATAAAACTTTATCTCTTGCAATCTCCCAAAAATTCCTCCCGCCGTTTCCTACAAATTGTTCTGCCACTTTCCTCCACTCATCATCTGTCTTCCATCCCTTCCATCCTTCCAATCACCTGCATTGTTGCATACCCTCTTCTCCTGCTTGTAGAGCGGTTGATCAGTTCACCCGAGACCAGTTAACCGTACTTCTGCCCACTGGCCCTGGGGGGGAGCGGCGAGTCTCAGCCAGGTTAGTGACAAAATGAGCCCTGACCCAGAGCACAAATTAGGAACTGAAAACATTTTCATTTGACACATTTTAAATGACGTTTGATTTATACCCTGTCATCACTAATGCAGATATTTTGCAAATGTTCTTATTCCCCTCGTCCACATGCAAACGTAATTTTTATGTCACTAAATCGGCAGTAAATTTTAAATGTTTATCGTACACTTAGTTTTCATTTTAAGTTTAACACGATGAATGATCATTTTCAAATGTAGAAATAAACTTGTTTGCCGCAGTTTGTGCTGTGATATACTGCTCTGCTCGTATTTACATTTATACGACAGATCAGGTTGTTCCAGCACACTCCTCCCTCCGACCACGAGCGCAATGCGATTGTGCGCTATTTTTCATGATGCATTATGGGAAACAATGAGCACACTATATAGGGTGTTAATAACTTCACTAAACATTCAGATACCACTACAAAATGGCATAATACAAAATTACATAATGCACTGTAAAGTGATTAGTGAGTGATTTCAGTTTGGTTAGCATCGCTTGGTTCTAATTACAGCTAAATTTAGCATCACTGCACCACACTACTAGCATTCACAGGCTACCTCACCCAGTATTACTTGGACCACAGTGTTTTTCACTGGTATTTCATTAATATGTTGATGTAGACTTTATAGCCACCTACTGGCCTGGCATGGATGTTTGATCGTTTGTAGTCATTTCCTATGTTCTCTTCTGGAAGGAGATATTTTTTTAAAAGAAGGTCATGTAGATGTGGAAAATATATTTGCAGTAGTTTAAACAAGGAATTAAGAATTAATTCTCAAACTTTTAAATTAGAGAAGTAGATAAATGAGATAATAAATGAGATCCAACCAGCCAACATCAAACGCTTAATTTAACCCTGACTCATGTTCTCAGACTCCTCATCTCAACCACAAAAAAAGTATCTTTTCATTTGATTAGACAGTCGATCACACCAGACATGATCTGTTTAAGAAACAAGATATTGTGAGATGAAATTTCATTAGTGGCCCCATCATTTATCTTTAATGCAAACATCTCCCTGGCACTAATGTGACTGATATATGGTCAATCCGAGCAACACTCCAGCTACTGCAGAGCAGTCATTAAACATGATTAACATTTTATTACTGTCTCACTTTCACCTCTCCGCATCACCAGTAGAGGAGGTCTTATTAGAGCTGATCCTAAACCAACAGCGGCTGTAGAGAGCAAATTAATCATCAGATGAGTGAATGCGTCTGTTTCGGAGAGATGGAGAGAGAAAGACAGAGGGAGGGGGGAGATTGTATTCCTCAACTCTGAAAGTGTCTGATCAGTCTGCGGCTTTGCTAAAGATTATGAAATCTCATTCTCTGCAGTCATATTAAATGAAATCTCTCTGAAAATATTTCTGTCAGTCAGTGTTAAGCTATTACACTGAATTTAATGATTATATAAAAACCTTGATAAGCAGCCATGTAATAATGAGAAGTTTGTAATTGAAAACAAATAAAGAGGCACTGGAGGATGCTGATGGGAGTAACTGATAAGAGGGTGTTTTTTAATCATTAGATGTTTCCATCCAACAGCTTTAATGAACCGTTTCATTTAGAAAATGTCAGAAATGTCAAATAGAAAGAAAATAGACGAGAACATGCACATCCAAACTTGATGAGCAATAAGAGCCGGAAAGAAGCAACAAAAACCAAAGACAAGAAATGTCTGCAGATTATTTGATGCTCCCAGAGCCGGAAACGTTACCCGAGAGGTCAGACAATCCTTGTCTTCTGCTACATATCAGAAAGACAAAATGAAAATATCTACAAAAAAACGAGTGATTATTGCTTAGTATATTGATTAAAGCAAAATGTGACAATGGAAACGTTCTCAATCATAACTGGATTTAAAAGAAATGAACAACAGAAGCAAATGAAAACAAATCTCTGAAGAGCAAAGTGATTGACTGTCGCTCTTTTAATTCCGTCATCTTCTTGCGTCTGCTCAGTCGGCAGTGTTGCTAATAATGGCATCTAACTGGAGAGGGAGTTTTAAGGGTAGCTAAGCCGTGCGATTTAAAAAGTTCTGTCGGCCTGCTGCAGAGCTGACTTTGAGAGATGCTGAGAATATGTGCAAAGTGCTGGAGGCAGACTGCTGAGCACATGAGAGAGTCCGAGGATGAACTGTCTCCCAACCTCCCCAAGAGAGTGGAGCCGAGAGGGCGAGCAAGAAATAAACCAAATGAACAACCGCAAAAAAAACGTCGAAAATATAATATACTCCTGCCTCTGCCGACACACACACACACAGACAGAGAGAGAGAGTAAAGATGGGGGGTACTTAAAAAAATAAAAGGCTTCAGTACATGATCATTGACATTACTTATTAATCTGTGGTTCATTTTCTGTGTGTAATTGATTCTTTCTTTGTACAACAGAGTATTCAGGCACTTAAAGGGGGAAAAAATTACAAAATTAAAGTCTTAATAGAATCATGTATTCGTGCAACAGTCTCTTACTAATATTTTTTTTATCTGTGCATATGAATATATTTGATTCCTTTTTAAGCTCAAATACAGTATGTAAGTTTTCCTGATAATGAACTATTTTGGTTTTAAATGAAAGTGTTTGCAAACTTTACTTCTGAGGTTAAACTTTTCTTTTCATTTCGGGGAACTTCTCCGTCACAGGATCCAACTGTTTATGTGCTTTTGTTTCCTGGCCTCAAAACTGTCTGGCTGGCACTTTTTTTTTTCTTCAGTATCTTGGTTTAAAGAAATTGAGCTATTGAAGGTTTGCTGAATTAAAAGTGCAAGGAAAGTCTTTTGTGAGGAGTGATAAAACCCACGTTGCAGTCATTGAAAGACTTTCTCAGCTTGTCAATCCAGCCTCCCACAAGGCTGACAGGCTGATGAATGTCACATACTTTACTTTTGTTTTTTTGGATATTCTTTTATTATTTGACCTCTTCTGTTGACATATTAATTTTGTAAAATAAGTCTACTTATGGCTTCAAACTCAGCCTTTCATACTGCGTCTATTAAAGAGTGCTGCAATTTTCTGTTAGAGTCTGAGAGAAAACTTGCTTGAGCCTGAACCGATATTTTCCCTCATTACATGCACATGCAATGTAAATTAAGTAGATAGCCCAACCATTGTGACCAAATCTGACTCGAACCTGTCTATCATATCAAAATCTTTGTCTGCGTATCCATACTCTGGTGTCTACATGCACTCTTGTTTGATCCTTATGATTAAGGCTCAGTGTACTTTGCTTTTCTATCAATTTCAAACATAAGATCTGGACTTTTTGCCCAGGTATTAATGGTTCAAAATTATCTGAATTTGTTGTGCTTTATTTAGCAGCTTAAGCAGTTGACTTCATGTCAACATTTATGTTGAGTTATTGTGTTTTTGTTGTTATTTGTATTGGTTTTTATTTAAGTGATTAGGGCTACTTTAGATATGCAGGTGTTGAGCAGGTAAAATTAAGTCTATGGTGAGGCTGCTGAAGCTTGATCACACAAAATCTATCACTGAATAATTATACCTCAATTTGCAAAAGAAAAAGGCACCTCAAAGTTACCTCCTAACAACATCAGTCTGTTCTTGGAGTCAAATTGTTGTAAGACCTGACAGCGTCTAAGAAGTTATGGCCAGTGGATTGGGTCAGATTGGTCGTGGGATGCAGTGTTGACAATGGTCCGAGAAGAGACAAACCAAGAACTGAAGAATCACTGATATGCAAGAGCAGTGAAAGGGATCCTGTGACACAATATTGTTGAGAAGAAATGTGCTCCATCACACAGAGCACCAGACCCTGCTGAAGAACCACAGCTCCTTATTGTAAATAACCTCAAAAGATGCAAATCCCCTTCATTTACTTAACTTAAAAAAGACAAGATTAGACATTTATTCACCTCCTGCAACATTTTGCTATGTAAAAAGCAGCTTTGGAGTCATCTTATAAAAGGTGAGCAGGGTGGCTGCTTGTTGAGTTCTGTGCTAGTTCACAGGCTGAGGGAGATAATAGGTTACCTCCTCAGTGCCAGGTTCACTAATCCTCTAGACCATATGTCAGCGGCTCCTCAAGCCCAGAGCCAGTGCAGCAAAAAGGACAGAGCTATGCAGGACAGGAAAACACAGACACAATGGGCAGCCACATGTAAGCAGGCACTTGGCCTTTGAAAATGTTGCTACTTTTTGTACTGTTTGTATCTAGTTGTGAATTGTGACAGTAATAGTTACTAAGGAGCATTAGTAACTGTGACTAGATAAGAAACAGAACATTGAGCATTTTGCTCAGGTTTTGGGAGGTTCAGGGGGATGGGAAGATGTTTAAAGCCATAATGGTGCAAGTGTAACACAGAGTGTTGATCTGAGTGAAGCTGAGCAGGTGAAGGCACAAGCCAGCTGATGCTACACCACAGTGAAGCTAACTGAAACCTGCTCTCATTCCAGGAGGCAGCAGCGGCCTCAGGGAGGAGGAGGAGGTGGTGGAGGAGGGAAGAGCCAGCCTCAGCAGATACAGCAACAGTCACCGCAGCACCACAGGGATCACATCCAACAGCAGCAGAATATAACAGAACTGGGAGATAACAGAAACAATAGTGCCGATTGGCCGCCCCGCCAGTACCCGGGAGGACATGGCCAGCGCCAAGGAGGACCCTCGCACTATGGCTACAGCCAGAACCGGCGTTGGCACCACAATCAGAAAGGTCAGGGGCATGGACAGACTAACACCATGGGTGACAAAGGCATAACCCTGAGAACAACCAAAGACAAAGAGACTGAGAATGTAAAAGCTGGTGACGAGCAGATCAGACCGCCTCAAGACTGCAGCCGCAAGAGTCCCAATGAATCACCCAAATCGGAGTCAACACCCTTTACAAATACTTTCCCAGATCTGCGAGTATCTCCCAACCCAGCAGGAAGTGGGAAGGCGAGCGAGGGCCAGTCGGAGCAGCCCAAAGTCAGCTTGCTGCAGTCTTCAAAGGAGAGGCTGCGGAGGAGACTAAAGGACAAGGTACCGAAAAGCTGCTTAGCGCCTGTCACTCAGTATTAAGGCAATCAGGACAAGTGTGTGTGTGTGTGTGTGTGTGTGTACACTTGCACTGCCATTTGCTGTTATAATTACTTTCATTATGGTCATGCACACACATGTCCTGTCTTTAATATACAAATGTGTATGCTGGACCTTTCTCACACTGTTGCTCGAGTCCTTGATCTTCTTAGTGATTTAGTTTTCAGAATGACACACACTCAGACGAGGAGGGGAGGACATGTTCTCACTGAGGAGGTGAAACATCTAAAGCAGCATTAAAAGTTTTTGATGATTTTCACTGTACGGCACAAAACTCTTAAGCTAACTCACCACCTGAATTCATTTTCATTTGGCCAAAATCTTCCATGATGATATCTGAATTTAGTGAGATCTAGTGGAGAAGTGTCATGTTGCAACATGAAAGAGAGCTTGTGGCAGCCTTCAGTTGTCATAAAAACGCAAAAGGTGCTAATTTTGTCCAGTTTGGACAACTGTAAAAAACATGGCAGAGGACCCACTCCCGATAAATATATAAGTATTAAATATAATGAGGCTGTTATAGGATAAAAAAAACAACAATTTGTATAATTTAGATGAAACACACTAGTGAAAACATCACTAGGATTATTTTATATTCAATTTCTGCCAATAGACCCCTTTGAACTAAGTCTTACACACTGAACTTTTAAGTTATTATAAAAAGCAGAACATTTTATAATTTGTATATATCCCTCTATCTGTTTCCAGGGGCTCGAAGGTTGTAAGACAATTGACCGAGAAGTCAATGGTTCAACTTGAGCAGATACAAATGTCGAGTTGATACCAATTTGCCAAAAATTTTTTGGACCTCTTCACTTTTTTCACATTTTGCTTTAGCCTTATACTAATACAAACAGAACAGATGTCCCCTAAAGTCTTCAGTTCTAATTTATTAAAAGGCAAAAAAAAACGTTCTTTTTCCCCTCCTGATCAGCCAGAGTGACCGTCAGGTTCTTGGTAACCTCTCATTTGTACCAAACCTCTGCTATTTAAAAATGATGGAGGCCATATTGATCCTTGGAGGAGGCATACATTTTTTTGTTGCCTTCTCTAGATTGGTGCCTCGACACAATCCTGTCTCTATCACCACCACTCACTTGTCACAAATTTACCTTCTCATCTCAGGATGAGGCTCGTGTGGAGGCATCAGGCTCTGGGTCCCAGAACATGGACCGGCTGGTGGACCTGCTCAACAGCATGAGGAGCAACAGCAGCGGCGTGGAGCAGCAGCTGGCCTCCTTCATGGAGGAGGCGCAGTGTTCGGCGCAGTCCGAGGAATCCCTGACGCAGGTGGTCAGCACAATCTACTCCAAGGCTGTGTCGGACAGAAGCTTCGCTGCCACTGCCGCCAAGCTCTGCGACAAGATGGCGCTGTTCATGGTGGAGGGGACCAAGTTCAGATCTCTCCTGCTCAACATGCTGCAGGTGAGGAGAGCTACTGTAGTCAATGTTTTAAAGATGGATTGGATGCAGATGATGGTCAATCTCTGCTACGCATCCAAGATGGTGAACATTGAGAATGAGAACTGTTTGTTTTTCACACTCAGCTTTTTGACCGAGATGATCACACCACCTGGGTAGTCATTGTTCACTGCATGTTGCGATAACTGTCAGTGTAAATTCATTTATAAACTTGATATGAAAGCTGTTCACTTATTCACCAACAGTTTTAACATTGATTTTAAATAGTTTTAGCAGTTTTTAAATTGAATTGAATATCTGTGTTTGAAAAAGGTAATCACTTTAAAAGTGTCGCCTTAATTCTAGCGACCTTTAAAAATGTTGTATCTTTTCTTTCTCTCACAAGTCCATTGCTTCCCTTTTTTTAAGTTGTGCCCCATGTAGCTTTCACATAGATATCTGAATAAATACAGACACAGTAAACAATTGTGTTCTTGCAGGATTCACCAAGTTAAATTTAATGCCAGATAAAATTAAATTAAAGTTTCGCAATCTTAACAGGCAACGTAGAAAAGTATGATGGAAAAAAACAGTAAGAAAAACATGCGTCACCAAGTATTTTCCAGCAGCTTTTATTAATTCCTACTGATATAAATAACTGCAACCTTATTAATTATTTTAAGTTCATTTTAGTGTTTGCTGAAATCAGCATTTGCCCTTTCTGAGTTACCTGTAGCGACGGTGTTTTAGGTCATGCTGCCGACAGAAACACCAAAGAGCATTAACAGACTCTAGCAGCATTCAAATTGCTCAAAAAAGTCACATATAGCATGAGTTTAACAGCTAACAATCAGATGTGCCAAGTTCTGCCAACATTTTAAACTATCATTATTATCTTCAGCAGTCAAGACTAAATTAATCTTGAGATTGTTTGATACTGTAAGGCCATTTTAAACTCAATTCAAGATCCGCAAATGTCTTGAAACAGGCTTCTTGTAAAA